GCTTCGTTTCCGAATCCCCAGGACCTCCAACAGCCTGTGCAAGTCCACGCTCCACAGGAGCCAAAAGGCAAAGCTGCCGAGCCTGGCAAGGTAGCTGAGCTCCCAGAGAAATATGAAACAGAGTCATCCAAAGACTCCAACAGGGCAGGAAGTTAACACCAATTACATTTCGGGAACTTTTAATAATGTCTTTGTGGTTACTGGTAGGCAGCCCGCAGTCATACCTTAAACCTGGAAGTCTGTGGAATTTCGAGTCCCACTCCTGTAGAAATTGATGAAAGGACTATGTGTCTAGATGGATCACTATTCTCCTGCCATTCTGGAGAAGCTTTGACGTAGAGACTGCGCTTACAAAAACCTTGCTGTAAAAGGCAGATCTGATCCAGTGACTACCCAGGGTGAAATTCCAGAGGGGTGTTCCGCTGCACGACCTGGGCCCAGCCCGCCTTTTTGCCCCCACCCCACCCCAGGCCTCCAACCATGTGGCCACAGCAGTGCCCTGTGCAGTAATCCAGACAGGCCACACTCCTGCTCTGTCCTCCTGGTCCCTGTCCCCGTGGCTGTCTGAAATGCCCATTTCTACCTCTTTGTCCCGGCCACTCCTCCAATTAGCAAACTCCTCTCTCAAGAAGCATCTCAAAGGTCACATCCTCTGGAGAGGATTTTGTGATTTCCAGTCCCCCAAGTGAGTGCGGGCTCACCCCTGGGCTCCGTGGTGCCTGGTAACCAACCCCACCACAGTGTGCATCACGCCGTAGTAAGATCGCCTTGCTGTGCATTCCCCTACAATCTTTGCAGGTAACTCATCAGAGTGACCCACCAAACTGGTGCCACCGAAAAACTTCAAACTCAAGGTCATAGAAAAGCTGTCTTACTTTGAAGCCATAGTGCATCAAAAATAAAGCTGAAATTTCAGTATTCCCATTAACTACCTTGAATGAAAGGCCTGGGGAGGATGGACAGTATCACTCAGCAAAGACAACATTTGCTTCGGGTGTGTTTTTGTGTATACACGGTTCCACAAAAACACACAAAAGTAGAGGTCAAGGGTAAGGTAAGAGAAGCAAGTAGGTTGTAAGTAGGTTTCGGATAGGAGATACATGTTTAAAGAGGAAAGCTGGGAACTAGTATTTGGTGTGTTTCTTTTTTACCCAGTAGAAAGTCCGTCTTCTACCAGCCAGAACCAAGTTTCATTATTTCCTAAGCTAAAATGTTGCACACATCTTTATGTCAAAATATTTAGTGGGGAGCTATTGGAAAGTAGCAAGGGTACTATAATTTTAGTTGATTAAATATTGGTTATTTACTTATTCATGTTCCAAATGAAACAGTGGTTCATCTCTGTGTTGTAAGAGTCGATATCCTGGGGTTTGGAGGAAGAAATCACTCCCTGTACCATTTCTCAGAACACAATATCCATTCAAAGTATGCCTTTGTGAGCTGGACAGTCATTTCACTGCACTTGGAAAACCAAAGTCATTGCAACCTGCCAAGGAAGTCAGCAGTGCAAGGGAGAGCTGCCCTACAGGCCACTTCAGTGCAATGTCAACAACGCTGGGGGACAGCCACCAGGTCCTAGGGCCACAGCACAGTCTCTCCATGGGCCGTGCTGAGAGTACGGGCTTCATCCAAGGGCAGGAGGTGGCCACTAACAGGTATAACGAAGGGAGTGAAATGATATGACACACTTTTTAAAAGATCTCTGCGGGTCCAAAGTGATGAAAGAATGAAGGGAAAGCAGAAGCAGGGCAGCCCTTTAAAGGCCTTCTCAGTAACCAAGGCAGACACGAGTGCCATTGGGCTTAGGAGGCGGATGAGCAGGGCACATGAGTTCAAGAAGCATTGCTAGGATGCAGTGATTTGGAGGAAGAACAAGGTGAGTGATGACCTAGTTTCGGGCTTGAAAATGCAATTTAACAGCTGTGCACCTTGATGATATGGAGGGAAGGGGGATCTGGAAAGGGGCTCAGGTAGAAGGAGACCAAGAGTTAATATTTAGACTCATTAAGCTTGAGGTGCCCACGAGCTACACAAGTTTGCTAAGTGATAGAAGGTGCAAAAGTGCCACAAAGTACAGAGGCAACATGTGGGGTGATGGAATGCCTGGGGCTATTCTCACTGGTGACCCTTCCCGACCTGCTCTCGGGCTGCTCCGACGTCCACCTCTGTGCCAGCCAAGGTAGAGTGCACATGAGGAGCTTACAGGGCACACCTGGCCAGCACAGGTGCAGGCTGCTGCTCTGACCGATGACCCACAGGAGTATCACAAATACCAGCCATGGGGCTGAGAAAACAGTAACTTTTAACAGTAAAATGGTATTTGCATCACACCACCATGGGAAGCAAAAAAATGTAGCCTACTTTCTTCAACTCCAAGCATCATAATAGGTTTGCTGATTTCTTGATACTGACGTTTTCGAGGAGTGCCAGTCAAAGGCTCTTGGTATCTAGTCCGGCACCCCAACAGGTACACCATTTTGAGTGCCACCTGTTTGGGGGGGTTCAAGGTTAGAGTCTCCCCTACAGAAATGTTCATCTAACGTGGGTGGCCCCGGATGCAGAGGGAGGTCTCTCTCCCAATGGAAAGACCCGAGAAGGAGGCCTATTTCAGGAACACAATGACTCACCGCAATCACACCCTGCTCTTACCGAAGTCAGCACGCCTCCTTCCCTGCTGCCCTTGCTGTTCTATCCCGAGGAGTCCATTTCCCAATTCCCCCATCGGAGGAGGGCAGATCCAAGTGTCATTAGACAATCTGCTTTCTAATGAAAAGTTGAGCCACTTTTTAAAAATCACATTTAATGAAACAATTACATATGGCAATAAAGCACTGTGCTTTGCCGCCTTGATTGATAGAACCACTGGCAATTATTAAAGGAGAAGGGAGGGAAAGAACATCATTAGATACAGCTAGACTAAGCTGATCAAACCCCTATTAGTGTCTTCCAGTTCAGTCACACAGTCAGACAGGGCAGCATTAGGGTAAATTAATTAAATTTCCTGCATCTCAATAAGCCCTCACAAAAATAAGACAAGACTGATTGGAAGATCTTAGAAGGAAGCTATCTACAGACAGCCACTTTCTCAAGAAAGCAGCCTCGTGAGGGTGGGGGAGACGCCATGGTGAGACTGCATCTCCCAACAGAAGACTGAGGCTTCCCCGCTGCAGGGAGCACACTGGGTGGGTAAGAGACGGAGCACCCAGGTTTTGTGACAGCAGTGGTGGCTTCCAAGGAGAAGGACGAGATGGTGCAGGGGAGATAAAAACCCAACTCCACTCACATGGACGACGTGACCTCAAGCAAGACCCCTAGCTGCCGAGCCCGCTTCCCGACTGAAAGTGGGAAGTTGCCATTTGCCCCTGCCTGTCTGTTAGGGTTGGTGGGAGAGGATGTGCTGAAGGGTGTAGAAGTGCCCTGCCAACGGGGGAGAACTCTACAGCTGGAAGAGACACCTGCGGCTTGCTGTCAGGTGGGAAAGGCTGGGACAAGTCCTCTCAGAGGATGGTGGCCAAGAACACTGGCAGAATTTGTAAGGGAATGTCTTTGGGGTACTTAGCAAATGCAGTAAACAAAAAAAAGGAAACTGCTGACTCATTCACCTAAAGCAAAAAGGTCTGGAGCAAGGAGGTGGATTAAAATGCAACTGTCCAGCCCTGGTTGGGTTGCTCAGTTGGTTGGAGCATTAGTCCATATACCAATAGGTTGCAGGTCTGATTCCTGGTCAGGGCACATAACTAGGTTGCAGGTTCGATCCCTGGTTGGGGCACATACAAGAGGCAACTGATTAATATTTCTCTCTTTCCCCCCCTGCAACTTTCTCTCTGTCTAAAATCAATAAACATATTCTCAGGCGAGGATTTTAAAAATGCAATTGTCCACTGACTGAGGCAGCTCGGAAGCTTGGAAGAGCACACAGATGGATGCCAGCAGAGAGGACAGGCCACAGTCACAGCATGACCCACAGCCGATGTCACGACTGAACACCAGCCACAGGGGTCATGCTGTTGCGGTCACTGGTCTCCTGACCTGCCTGTCACCTCCCTTCCCTTCCAGTTTCTGGATTATTGCTCTTCACACGGGCCCAACTGCCCCCCCCAAAAAGGAAAATCAGATATAGAAATTTTGCTATTAGCGTCATTTCACCAACAGTCACAACACAAAGGAAAACTAGAGATTAGCAATTTCTGGCGAGTGCTCAAAGAACAGAACCAACGTGCGAACGAGCCGGGTGGTGGAGGTGCAGTGGGAACCCACACAGGAGCGGACAGCCTAGCGGGGAGGCCAACTCTCCGTTTCTTCAGTAAACTTTTATGGCGCGTCTACTATGCCCCAGGCACAATTCAGGGACACCCTTGAGGAGCTTACTGGGAAAACACACAAACAAGCAAACTATAATCCAGTGTGGAAATGTGTATGGGGAGGCCACAGAGAAGGAGCCCTCGCACTCGATACAGCCATGGGAGCAGAGCAGTGACAGGGGCACAAAGGAAATCACAAAGCCCATGACACTACATGTCAATAAAAAGGAGACAGTAGCCCTGGCTGGTGTAGCTCAGTGGATTGAGTGCTAACCTGCAAACCAAGGGGTTGGTGGTTTGATTCCCAGTCAGGGCACATGCCTGGGTTGTGGGCCAAGTCCCCAGTAGGGGGCGTGCAAGAGGCAACCACACATTAATGTTTCCCTCTCTTTCTCCCTCCCTTCCCCTCTAAAAATGAATAAATAAAATCTTTTTTAAAAAAAGAAGGGTTTCAAAAGCAAGCGATCACTGCCAGCAGGAGGAAATCAAAAAGACTTCATTTCCAGGGAAGTGGCCTTTGAGAAAGGCCCTGAGTGATGAAGAGGAACATGCCAGGGCACAAGGGTGGAGGGGGATTGCGGCCTCCCTCCCAAATATCCCAAATAGAACCAGACATGTCTGAGGAAGGAGAGTGATCCCTCCACACACGGGTTTCCCTTGCAAGAGAGCTTTAGTAGATGCAAATTTACTTCTACTTACCTTTTCAACTTAAGAACTGCTGTTTCAATAGTTTCAGCAAAATGAATTTCCAGTTAGAGGCGACCTGAGTTATTCCTGTTGAGAAATGAGAAGAGGTATATTAATATGTTTAGGGGGCTAGCCCTTCACACACTCCATTTTTGGGACACCCCCTCGAGTCTATGCAGACAGGGCAGTCAGAGGGCTTCCCTCCCCCCAACCGACAGTCTTGGGGGTGGACACTTATGAGCATCGGCCACCCTGCCCTCCTCCCCCCTTCCCTCACTTGTAAACGCAGCAGGCAGTCCTGAGACCTGATCCAGAGAAACACACACAGACAGACAGCCGAGGAGCAGGACCACACAGCCCTGAGTTAGAAGGGCCTTCCCGCTCCAGTTCCCAGCAGGTGGGTTGAGTTTTGCTCCCCACCAACTCCTGAGGTTCCTACAACAAACCCTCTATTAACTTAAGCCGGCACAAGGGCATTTCTGTTCCCGGAACCATAAATCCCTGATTTACGAATAAGATATGCAGGTTGGGATGAGAAAAAGAAACAAAAGTGGAAGGTGAAGGAAGAGGCTTCTGAAACAAAGCCTTGGAAAAAATAAGAGATGAGAAAGTGACCGAGCCTGCTGAATGACTGTCCCATAGTATCTGAGAGGAAAAGAAGAGAGATGTGTGAGACCCAAAGACCAGACCCGATAAATGCATAAATCCCAGCAGTATGAAATAGTAAGAGGGAAGCCTGGATACCACAGAGAAGGGGCTCCTATTATGGGCATTACCCGTAACAAAACAAAGAATCTAGAATGTCATTGAACATACAAAGGGTAGAGAATGGAAAGTGACTACAGCAAGCAAGGAATAACGGAGTAACCACACAATGCTTACCGTTACTAAAAGAAGCAGTGTAATACCTCAAAGTCTTGACTTACTGTGCTGCCTTCTTTCGTCCTAAACGATGAGCATTTTATTTGCTCATATGGTTGAATGGGTCAGAAGTTAGTGCTGGGCTCAGCCGGCTGGGTTTTCTTCTGGTCTTGCCTGGCTATGGTCACCTGGCGGTTCAACTGAGTTGGATGGCAGACCAGACGCTAGTGGCTGGTACTAGCTGTCTGCGTTGCCTTTACAGCATATTTTAGCAAATATGAACCTTTCTTTCCTGAGGTCTTCATAGGTTTGTGCCCACGATCTCCTTGCCGTGTGTTTACATTAGTACTTGAGGTGGTCGACCATGAACTGACCTACTACAGCACTTCAAGAACCTAACCCCTTCTAGTCCCCTCTACTAGGGAGTGGTGATTTGGGTAACATTCGGACATTGTGGTGTGTGAAAGGGAGGAGCAGGAGGCAGTGCTGACAAGCAGAATACCTTTCAGGGGGCCCTGAATACCAAGTTAGGTTGGATGGACTTAATTCAAGCAGCATTAAGAGTCAAAATGACTACAGTCTAATCCCGTGTTCTCTAACAGATAATTACCATTCTGAAAATGTAGAAAGCTAAAATTGGGCTGCAGACGGAAAATAACACCCAAATCACAAGGACTGAAGCAGTCAGATGAAAATTAGGTCGACGGCAAGCGGTGACCTTTACCCTTGATAGGGTCCTCTGCCTGCTGCTGCTGGCTCATTAGCTGCAGCAAAGGCTTCACAAATTGCCTGGTTCCTGGGCCTCCTGAGCAGCTCGGTGCTCCCAGGGGCTCACTGGAGCATTGGCTTTCACTCAGCGGGGCACAGGATAGTGAGGAGACACCAGCTGGCCTGCAGAACAGGCCGAAGGGCGGCTCTCCTGTCTGCCCACCCCAGACCTGGCCCCACAGGGGCGCCGGGAGGCTGGCGCCACATCCCGCCTGTCCACTCCAAGCAGCCCACGCTCTAACCTCAGCCCTTTCACTCCTCCTCTGGGCTTCAGTCCCCTCATTCACAAGACAAGGCGGGGAGGCCAGGGGTATTCAAAGGGTGGTCTGTAAACCGGAGCCACCTACCAACTCTGCTGAAGGTTTGAGACAAGGTAAATTGAGAGCCTTTGAAGTTTTATAGTGCATGGTATTGCTACACAGCCAGGTACAAGATCAGTGCACCTGACTTATTCAATGGAGCACAGAATAGTATATGAGTTCCCTGCAGCTGCCATAATAAATGACCCCAAACTGGGTGGTGTGAAACGGTACCAATGTGTTCTCTCATAGTGCTGGGGGCCAGAAGCCCCAGTCAAGGCGTGGGTCCAGCGACATTCCCTTCAGAGGCTCAGGGGAGAACCTGTTCCTTGCCTGTCCCAGCTTCTGGTGGCTTTTCCTGGCTTGTAGCCACATGTCTCCTCCACTTCACTGCAGTGTGACAAACTGATCTCTCGCTCCCTCTTACAGACACTTGTGATGGCACTGAGGCCCACCTGGACCATCCAAGTTGATCTCATCTCAAAATCCTCCTATTAATTATATCTGCAAAGGACTTTTTCCAAACTAGGTAACGTTACTCGGACACATCTGTGGGGCTACCACTAAGTCCCCTACAGCTGGTTTGGATATCGTTGAACTTGTGTGACCAGCTGTACATGGTGCACATCGTACACCCGTATCGGCTCACCACTGAGCAATGAGGAAATATAACACCACCCTGTCCTTCACTCAGCTGGGACCCTGTTCCCCCACAGCCAGGGGCCCAGCCAGCAGGACCAGGCTGCAACGCGCAGGGAAGGGAAGGAGGTAGCAGGTACCAGGCCTGTGGAGCGCAGACTGCTCCCCCACCTTCTCTGGCAGGCAGTGCAGAAGCTGTCCCCCGCCACCTCTTCTTCCTGTCCCTCACCTGCCTTTAGTTGTAAAGTGTGATTAAACTGAGCTGTTTTCTGTTCAAGGGTGCCTCCCTCATTCAGTAAATGCTCACAGCTTTCCATGCCCAGGTTTAAAAACAGACACAAAACTTTTTAATTAAAATCCTTGTGTACCTGGCACTGCCCTGCTACTAACACATCCTCTCCCTCAACACCCTTCCCTCTACCCTCAAGAACATTTAGGAAGTTCCCAGGCTTCATAACGAAATCAAGAAAACACCTGGAGACTGAACAAAGCAAGGATTTAATTTCTCATTAGAAGCTTTCTTGCCTGGTATCAATAGGTCTTGCTAAAGGAACCCCTATGTTGAGTTCCTCTGCTGTTACACTTCTGCCCTTTTAAAGGACAGACCACGCCAAAATACCTGAGAGTGTTTGAAACTAACACTCGGCACAGGTACAGCCACAGTAAAATGGGCACTCTCATCATTCAACTACTGGTAGGAGTAAAATAGGCACAATCTTCCCCGAAAGCAATTTGGCAAATCCTTAAGAGGCTTAAAATTGTACACCCCCTCTGACATTGTAGTTCCATCTTCAGAACTCTTCACCAGGGAGTAACCTGGAATGGGGACAGACGTGAGCACTCAGAGGCACCAGGGCAGTGTCCTAGATGAGACAAAAAGTACTAGAACTAAACTTAATAGCCAAGGAAAGCAAATGATTAGATAAGTTACAGTGGATTTATAAAGTTTCATGCAGCTGTTAAAATGACATTTTACAAAGAATTTTTAATTAAAATAACAACTATTAATGGCAACAGCTGATCCTTACACGGGCCAGACACTATCCTAAGCTTATTAGGTGCTTTGCACATGATTAGTGCCCAATCCTGACATCAACTCAAAGAGGGAGGTATTGTTGCTATTCCCACTTTACAGACCAGGAAACGGGGGCACCAAGAGTTAAGAGACTAGTCCATAGCCCTTCTGCTACTAAGTGATAGCCCTGTGATCTGAGTCCAGCCCGTCTGGCTCCAGAGTCCAAGGTCTTGAACCCTATACTAGGCTGAAGGATAGCCACAAAGACATTGGGCCGTAACCGTGGAACCTAAAAATGTTATAGGATCTTGGCAGATGTGATTAAGATAAGGATCTTGAGATGAAGAGATATCCTTGATCTTCTAGGTGGATCCCAGAGGCCACCACAGGTGTCCTCATAATAGAGGCAGAGGGAGATTTCTCTCTCTCTCTCTCTCTCTCTCTCTCTCTCTCTCTCTCACACACACACACACACACACACATGAAAAAGGCACATGAGACAGAGGCAGATATTGAAGAGAGGGGGCCACATGCCAAGGAATGTCAGCAGCCACCAGAAGCTGGAAGGGGCAAGAAACAGATTCTCCCTTAGAGCCTCTAGAAAGAGCACAGGCTGGCCTTCACCTTGATTCAGACTTCTGGCCTTTCAGAACTGTGAGAGAATACTTTCTATTCTTTTAAGCTACTTGGTTTACAGAATTTATTACAGAAACCACAAAAAACCAATGCAAGCTCCTACATTGTACTGCTCTCAATGCAAGAGAAAATATTCACGTGTTAAGTGGGAAAAGTAAAAATCAAAATTTATACAGAATGATCTTAATTATGCATATAAAATGCATGCAAATACAACAAAATGTTTTGTAAGTGATTATCTCTGAATACTAGAATTACACGTAATTTTCAGCATTATGGCTTTTGATACTTTCCCAAATGTCTACAATCAGGGTGAATTACTTATACAAAGAAAAGAAAATTATTTTTAAAAAATTAGCAACTCTTGCTATTTCTGTGACTCAAACTCAATCACAAAAATTAGAAATCAAGAGGACCAAAACTCCCTGAAAATTTTCTTAGTTCAACCTCCGAGTAACATCTGAAAAATGAGCGACCCAGATGCACGCCGCCTCCAAGTGACATCGCTTTGCCTGTGGCCCATCTCAGGCCTGCTAGTTTTCAGACTCCAGCCGGAACATGATGTGGCTGAAGAAGTTCCAGCCTCTGAAACAAGAGGATAATCTGAGCTGGTAAATTTTTTCCTGTCTACCTGGCTATATGTGGTGGTCTGGGAGAGGCAGGTTTGATTCCCAGAGCTCATCAGGCCCGAAGTGACTGGTGTGGGCCACATGCCAAGAACCATGTGATTTCTCTGCAGGTGACTTCACAAAATGAAACATCGAATTAAACACTGGTTTAATCTTCTTACCCAAGTCCCGACTCCAAGGCTGTTACTCTGTTGCAAAACCCTGCTACTATCATCTATCCAGGCAGTTGGAAGACCAAAG